CTCCCTCCCGTCGAGGCACCCACCCGGGATCCTGTCCACTCACACTCGGATCCACCCAGGGATCGGCCTCAGGCCGGAGCGCGTTGACCCGCACAAAGACACAAACGCACACAACCCCCTCCCGTGACACAGGGCAGGCCGGGATCTCCCCGCCCAAATCAATCTTCTCTCTCCCGCCCCGTATCCCACAATCCCAGACGCGCCCTCTGGCCTCCTCTGGTTCCTTTGATCCCACCGGACGCCCCACGGCTCGCGGCGTCCTGGCCACGCCGTCCTGGGAGTCACCCACAGCGCGCCAAAGCCAGGCTGCGCTCGCCTCCTCCCAGCTCGCCCTATAGCTCACTCTAGCCTGGACAACGCTGTCTCCTGGGCTCTCCCGCCAGAAGCGCCTGGGACGCCTTCTGGAACACTGCCCCCACATCCTCCTTCTTAGCGCTTCCCTGTACTCCGAGAGAGAGACATTTCGGGCTACCCAACCAACCCTCCTCTCCGCCCCATCCCTGCAACCCCTTGGATCGCGCGCCTCCCACTGGCCACTGGGATCTTGCCAACCTAGAGCTCTCTAGCCCTCCCCGGAGGCACACCCCGAGGGCAGACGCCCTCGGGCACCTCTGGGAAGCTCGCCACGCCGGCGGATCCGCCAGCGGTCACCCCGCTCCTCCATCCTTAAGCACCCCCGCCCTAACAGTAACTGGTGGAGGCTTCCGCCGCTCCATAGCTTGGGGAGGGGGCGCTGCGGCTTGCTCTCGCCTTCGGCTCGCGCTCTCAGGTTGCCCGCGGTCTTTGCACACAGTGCTTGTTTTTTTTCAACCTCAGCCCAGTCGCAGCGAACTCTGGGCCTTAAAAATAGCCCAAATAGCGGTGGCACATGTGGGATTGGTTAAATATTTTCTACGCAGCCCTGTCTCTTTCCCCCCACCCCCGGCGTTTTCTGTTGTATTTGACAGGTTTTAGATTCCTCAGTGGTGTAGGGCAGAAAGTATATATTGTATGTACTGCGTGTGTGTGTGTGTGTGTGTGTGTGTGTGTGTGTGTGTGTGTGTTGCGGGTGGGGAGCCTTTCCTTTCAATCATCCAAGACTGCCGACTGTAATGTAATAACCTGTTTTATAGGTCAGACTCTAACCGTGAAGATAGAAACAGGGAATTTACATGAATCTCTCTTTAAAGAAGATGAGAGTCCTGTTTTGCATCAATTAAATGTTTCTGCTCTTTTGTTCACTTGGACTTCTTATTTACTTCTGATTTATGGGGATCCGAAGGAGTCTCTGCCAAAAGCACATGTAGTATTGAGTCTGTTCCACATCCTAAACCAAGATTTATATAAAACCGTGAAATACCACACATTACGACCTTTCACCACAGGAAGGGAAAAAAATGGCTTCATAACATCACTCTACACACATACCCTCCCTCCTAGTTTCGGTAAGGATTCTCTGTGGAATCTTCACCGTATGCAGCCTAGCGTATTTTTTTTTTTTTTTAAGAAGTGGGTGGGGGTGAAGGGTGGTAAACAGTTCCCAAGCTATGATTTATTTAAAAAGGCTTCTTTTTTTTCTCGATAAGCGAGAAGATAGGAACCTGCCAATGGAAGCTTATTGTCATCCAGGACTATTTCTGCCACTTGCCATTTGCAAGGTCGGGGGAGAGGGGCGGAGGAAGAGCAGGATATGGACTCAACTTTCATCTATAAACAGGGGTCACTAAACAGGGGACATTTCATTATTGCCCTTAAATTCACAAGAGCTAGGAAGCCTGCTAGCCACCCTGCAGGGTGTCCCTGGTTGGGCAGCTCCCAGGTCTGTGAAGGGGTGGGAGGAGGGAGAGTCGACACACACTGATGTGGAGGCTAGAAAAGATGCCTAGGAAATTCTGTGTTCCTGGTGAGAAAATTGAGCTCCTGGGGATATGCGGGACTTTTGGTGTCTTTGACTAGGAGATCCCCACCAAGAACCAGAACTAGACTCCAGAACCCTCCACCAGGGCAGGGTTCGTCCTTCTGCAAGCAAAAACTTGAACCCCTAATGCGCTTTGACTCTGGGCCCAGGATAGTCCCCCAGCCTCTCTCCAGCCTCTCTTGCTTTATTTCTCCCTCTCTTGCTCTAACTCTCCTTCTTTGGTCTTCCTATATTTTAATAAAACTGACCTTGCTCATTTTAACACGTTGGTGACATGTAGCAAAGGAAGCAGCTGGACTGTTTTATATGGAGGAGATTTATTAATTAATAAAAGTTAATGATAGGATTAAAACCAATAGCTAACCCAACTGGAGAAGACAGCTTCCCAGCCGGCTATATTTAATCAGCAGCAACTAATACGTTTTCTGCTAATATCCTCTAGGATTCTAGATGACTTAGTGGTGAAAGAGAATGAAGACAGAGGACAGGAACACTTGTAAGTGTCCAAGGGCATTTTGCTCGGATAACAAGAGAAAGTGCAAATTTATTTAAGAAAATATTCATGAACAAGTGACAGGCACACTTTGAAGAGATTTTGTAGAAACAATGGCAAAACTGACAAATGTTCTTTGCTTTGGGGGAGGGGCACCTTTTTAAAGCAGGAAAGCACTTCTGGAGAGAGAAGGGGGAAAAAAGACAGGGGGTTGGGAAAAAAAGCAAAAGAAAAATTATTTTAGACTCCAGGCAGCAGCAGATGCAGCAGCCCTTGCAAACACATCAGCCCGGCACTATTGAAGATTTGGACATGAAATGCTTCAGACCACTCATTTGCTATTTTCTTAATTCTCACTCTTCTTTTTCCATATGAATCAAACAGTCTTTTGTCCTTCAGGGTTTGATTTGATCGCTACTGTTCACATTTCACTTTTGTATTTTCCTCTTCCTATACCATTACTCATTGAGTGCCCTGTGAAATTACAATCGTACATTTTCAACTCAGCAACCCATTTGCAGTGCAAAAATAGGGTCTAAATAATGGCTGAATTAGCCCTACTGGACAGTTTCAGATGTAACACTCTGTAATAATTATATTGCAGGCTGGATTAGGATGCTATTATCATAATCTGGACGTTTACAATTATCTGTAATTTGCAAAGATGCGCCAGGTCTTGATTACAGCAGTTTTTTTTTTTTTTTTTTTTGTACCACGCTAACCATCACTAAACAGTGACAGTAATAACAGCTAATTTTGCTGGCAATATAAGAGGTGCTGGGGTGTGCAAACAATTTCACACCTGGATGTGCTCACTCAACCAAGAATATAGAGAAAGAGCTTCTGCCCTGAGACTCAGAAAAATATTCTCCTGTGCTTCAGTTCAGTATAGATTTCTAGACCCTGATCATTGCTTAAGAGATATTCACTGAGGGTAAGTTTTTATTTCTTGCATACTTCAAGGAACAGTTCTTATTTCTCTTCTCACACTTTCCAAGAAATACGTGTTGCCGTTATAATTTATTATGGGCTACAACTTTGCTTTGTATGTTGTTCAATGCTGACCTTTTATCCCCTTTAACAGTAAAAAGTGTTATTGTTCTGGTGAGTGAAAGGATTCGAGTGAGAATGGAATCCTTAAGTATTCGTTTGTCTTTCTTGCTTTCTATGATGTTGATGTATTTGGTGCAGCTTGTGACTGAAGCCTGGGAAAAGGACATGTTTTTATAAGGTGTGGAGAGACTCGGCTGGAGATTCCAAGCTAAAACCTATTTGAAAATTATTATTCGCAGCTAATCCTAGGTGAATCCAGAGAGGTCTTTACATGTGGCCATGATTTTAGATTTTGAGGTGACAAGATATCAAACGGAGCTCGCGATTGTGCGCCTTTAGAATCACAGGCATGCGGACATTTGCAAAGGCAGGTGTAGTCTGATGAATCTCTGGACAGTGTAGCCCCTTTGACATCTTTCCTCCACTTGGGGGAAGGTTTCAGAAATAGCTGGCCTCAATCTCGGGTGTGGAGGCGGTGGAGGTTGGAGGGGCTATGAGGATCTTGGAGTTACTGCCCGCGGAGCACAAACGCCGTGACCTTGGGGTTGGAGGGGCGTGATTGGCTGAGACGCAGAGCCCAGCTGGGGAGCTAGAAAACCCAGATTTAGGAACGCACCAAGGAAGACTCCAGCAAGAAGCCGTGCTGTTCTAACTATAGATGACGCTGTTTCCTGACCCTGTAAATGCTGTAAGCAGCTAGAGATGTTAAATGCCCGAGAAATCTTTGGCTTCCCATCCCAGTGCAAAAAGGCCTTTCTGCGGCGGCAGAAACCTTTTGACTAAGTTGTGTCAAAAGATAATGAGATGTTTATTGGTGCCGAAGAGAAGAGAAATCATTCCCTTCACCCCCTCCTTCCTCTACCCCACCCCCAGCTATTGTTCTCTCTCTCCTCCTCTTTATCTCTTTTTAAATAGGAAATATGGTCAGAACGAGGCTCCAGAACTCGAACTCTGCAACCTCTGGAGAAGTTCGAACGTGCGGAGGCGTAGTAGGCACCACCACTGGGCGATGCCTTTTGCCCACGCCCCTCCTACCAATCCCTCCCTGGGGAATTCGCTTACCGTAGGGTCAAAATATTCTAAAGAGTGAAAATATTAACCCTTGAGGTTCAGAGGATCCAGAGAAAGCCCAGTTCCAAGGGCAGTCTGGAGCGACTACTTGGAAGAGTTTCTTGTTTAATTAAACTCCTGTTAAGAGATGAAGAAATCGATACAAATGCATTGTGACACCTCCAATATGTCAACATGCATTTGCCGGGTTTCAGAATTTTATGCACTCACAGTGGTTTGGCTTGTATCTGGTGAATTTTTTTAAAGAAAAATTAGTGTTGGTTTCGATGTATGGTAGCTTTCTCCCTAACGTAATTTGAATAATTCAGCAAAGCCCCACTACCAGCTGTACTTCTGCAGCCTCTTCCATTCTTTTCAGCATTATAATTTTGGTTAATTTTCAATTTTAGGTCCTACGTCTCTGCAATTTGTGTATGAATAACAGAATAATTTCCCTCTTTTGTTTCGCCTTTCCTGTTCCTGAATCTAAATAAAGATGGCTTTTTAGTATTAAAAGTGGAAGAAAATTACAGGTAATTATCTTTGACGGTAAAAACGCTGTAATCAGCGGGCTACATGAAAAATTACTCTAATTATGGCTGCATTTAAGAGAATGGAAAAAAACCTTCTTGTGGATAAAAACCTTAAATTGTCCCCAATGTCTGCTTCAAATTGGATGGCACTGCAGCTGGAGGCTTTGTTCAGAATTGATCCTGGGGAGCTACGAACCCAAAGTTTCACAGTAGGAAGGGGGAAAAAAGAAAAGAAAACATTTTTCCTAATGTAACAATGCGAATGCTAGAAAATGACAAGACTGATCGGTTTTAAACCATTCTGAAGACTGACTGAGCGTGGAAGTTGCTCAACAAAAAAAGGAACGGGTATATTGGTAAGTAGTCTTTGCTTTGTGTCTAATTATAGTGACTGTCCTTTTGCACGACTGTATGTCGCTGTCATTATATGGAGCACTCTGAGTATCTCTATTGACTTCTGATAAATGGCTCAGTGGTTTCAAGGTTCATAATTTGAAGGATGCCCAGGTCTGTAGCCATTAATTCTCGCAGTATGGGGCTTCCTGCTTGTATGACGAAAGGACTTTTCATTTTCATTATTTCTGTGCTTTCCCCAAGATCGGAAGGATGTATTTCATTTAGGATAGTGCATTTTCCTACCTAGCTAGCTGGCAATGGGTTGTAAACATTAAGTAGGCATAATTGTATACTCTACTTTCTATTTTTTCTTTCCTGTATTTTTGAAAACTGCATCCAAACAAAGACAAATATGGCTGTGTTATTTTGGCTCGGAAAAGGGAAAGGAGAATACTCAGTTTCAGCACCAGAAACTACTGTGATGTCTAGAGGTTAACTTGAGGATAGGTCATTCTAATGTTTAAAAAGTAGATACATGTGTAGAAACTGCAATAAAAACATAATATGTAAAGAAAGCTGAGAGGCATCTGTGGTTAATGTTAAAGTACTTAAGACAAAGGCTAGCAGTGCAAACTGACATCTTTGCAGGCACTTGATGTTTATATACATATGTGCATATGTGTGTGTGTGTGTGTGTGTGTACACACACACACACACACATATATATGACTTCCCATATTAGGAAATAGAATTTTTTTAAGGATGATAGAAAATATAAGGGGGGAGGGGAAGTAAGGGAGGAGGGAGGAAAGAGAGGGACAGAGACACACACTGAGAGAAATATACAAGACACTCTTAGCATTTTGTGGCTTTTACTCCATATATGAAAGAAGACAAAAACATACAAAGTATATGTACAACTAAAATTCAACAATATATACAGAAATGTTTCTTGATATAAACGTCCCTATTAGCTTAGTGAATGCCACCAATTCACTTAGTAAAGGTGTCAAAGCAATAGAATGGTGATTCTGATTATTTCCTCCGTCTTTCCTGATTCCAGTTCAGGGTTTGGGGGGGTGGGGTGGGGAAAGAGTGGTTTTTGTTTTGTTTGTTTTTTTAATCAACCATCATTCCTGGTCATTGCATTTTGATAAAACATGCAGCATTCCCTTTGTAGCAACGTTCTAATCTTATAGCCACTTTTTCCTTTTTCTTTAGAGAAGGGATGTTATGTGAGAGTTTTTCTTTTTCTTGTCAGTCTAGGAATGGTAAATAAAAATGCAGGAGTCCGAAATGCTTCTCTTTCATCATGTAATGTCTTAAACTCATTAAACAAGTAAAAACGCTGCCATGTTTGTGCAGATTCTTCTGGTGGGGGGAAAATCTGTTTTTTAAAAAAGTCATTTTGAGGGATACTCCCAAGAAGAAGAAGCTCAGAGCCTGGATCCCATGGGGTAAGGGCAAATATCCTTACAGTAAGGGGTTTCAGGAATGCTGGCATAGAAACCAGTTTCTCTCTCACACATACTCTTTTTCTCTCTCTGACATGCAAGATCAATTACTGACATTGCTCAAGAGAGAGAGTAAATGAGAAAAAAAGTGGAAAGGAAAAAAGAAAAGAAAGGTAGAAAGGAAAAGGAAAGGAAAGAAGGAATGGAAGAAAGAAAGGAGAAGTGAAAAGAAAGGAGGAGGGTAGAGAGAGAGAGAGAGAATATAAGCCTATTTGGCTTCTCGCCACACTTGTGAGTTCTAAGCCTGCTCCTTCGGCTCTTTTTCGCAGATACAAGCAGGTCCCGGATTCTCCTTTCCTTGTTCAGAGGTTTCCCTAGGGTGTTCCCTTGGACAACTCACATCATCTGTGGTCTCTGCATCGTGTCCTGGTGTGGAGAGGAGTACCAGTGAGAATAGCCAGGCATGTAGCTGTTGGGGGGCATACTGACACCCTTGGCCGAGGCAGAAACGTCCCAGACTGGAGGCAGCGCTGGCGAGCGCGGCGACAGGGCCGCCGATCCCTGAAGGGGGTCGCTCTCATGAGGATTACTGCCCTGCTTCAGCAGTTTCTTAAACTTAGAGCGTTTGTTCTGAAACCATATCTTCACCTGTAAGAAATGCAGCAATCATTAGGCCCATAAACATCAAACCAGTGCTTCTAGCATCACTTGGAGATTTGGAAGCAATATTTAAAAGGAAAAAGCAAACAAACAAGCAACCACTGCAAATGCCAACAAGCCAAGTCCCGCCTCCTTCCACCTCTTCCTAGCCTCTTACACTCCCACTTCCTCCAACCTACCAGGTATCTTGCCTGGATACCTAAAGTCATTGTAATTCTAGAATTACATGCTAGCCTGGATATAAAACAACAGTATAAATAAGAAAAACTGAATGAGATGACCAGGTGGAAAGCCTAAAGAAGGATTTTTAAATTAAAGCTACACAATTGAATGCACCTCTTCCGGTAGTCTGTGTTTTTACATTTTGTCTATGTAAAAGGACTATTTTCCATAGTCATTTGCTCCCAGTACATGCATAGAAATACCCCAAAGCTGGTCTCTCTATACTTGTACAGGGAGCAAATGGCTATGAAGAGATTCAAGCCTGTACATTTATAATGAAATGCCTTGAATATATCTATGCATATATTGCACATGCCATAGGTTATACACGAAGCATCTTTCTTCAGACATAAATATATTCCCATAATCTTGCAGGGATTAAGGACTGCAGCTCCTTCATTCCCTATTTTGTATGTTGCCTAGTCAAATTGTGGTCAACAATCATCACATGATTGTGAATATAGTAACTAAAAGTCAAAGGACTTCTGAAAATGTGAATCAGGAATCTGGGCTGGGAGCATATTTAGGCCAATATTTCAGATGTGCTTTATTTGAAGAAGGAAATTCTATGGTGCAGCTTCCTTTACCTTTAAAATTCCCTAGCCATAGGAATCTACTTTTTCAAGAGGCATACAAGCCATTAAATAGCCGGAATGCCTTCATATCAAACCCCAAATATTTATGAATGGAAATATGGAAAGAAAAAACAGGCTAAATTGAAAAGAAGAGCTTACGGAACAACTGTCTTAAGTCAACACAAAATCAGTCTCTAGTATAGTCTCATAAAACCTGAGGTCTCCTGGCTGACGATTACCTGCATCAGATGAGGCCTACATACTCCATGCAGGTAAATTAATCAACAAAAACTGTGGGTGATGGCAGCCTGGCTTTTTGACCAGTGTCCTAGTATACTCACCTATGCTCCTTCTTGTGAAATCTGAAATGCCTTCTTATGTCTTTCAAATTAGTAGGATGGGAGAACTTCAGTAACTGTACTGAACTGTGGCTTCACCTGTTACAATTTGGGTAACATTTCTCTTTGATCTCCAACTCTGCCACTACACCTAAGTCCTGTGCTCCAAGGAAGCAGCTCAGACCACATCAGCCTGTCAACCCAGATGACTTAACCACTGTGCTTAGGGAAATCTTCAGAAAACAACCCACCTTGCCACTCCTAGGATGAATAGATTGCACTTTGATGCCTTTACTAAACCTCACTGGAACCTATGCCTACTTTGTTTTTTCTTAGTTCATTTCACGAGTTTTCTTTCTGTGTCAATGAGTTGAAATCCTTATTAGCTCCCAGGGCCTACAAAAGGATCCTTAAGAAAAGTGAACCTTATTCTGCCTCGTGACCTGTACACCTTTTTCTCCTAAATGTTTGTTCTCTTTCATGTTGTTCTGCTCTGGAATAAGACTTAATTGAATTATGAGTTTGGTCACAAAAGGATTCTGGGCTGGGGTGGGGTCGCCGAGGGCTGGGAGGAT